CTTAATTCTAGCGCCTTCCTTCTCTCAATTATTTCTCATTTATCTGTATATAGCTTGCTTGTATGTATTTGTTTGCTTGTTATCTTACCCTATTAGATTGTGAGGCCCTTGATGACAAGGACTTTTGTCTCTTTTTCTATCCCCCAGCACTTAGAACAGTGCTTGGCAAATAGTAGGTGCTTAATAAATGTTTATTGACTGACTGATTGACCAGGGAGCAGCAAGACCTCAAAACCCTAACTAGCCTCCATATTTTGGAAATTCAGTGCTAATCCTAGCTATCAGCTCTGGATTGGTTATGGCAGAAGTCAATCCTCAGTTCAGGGTTAGAAAGAGTAAATAGATGGGCCTAAAATGCTATGATTCCCATCAATGATCCCAAAGGATTCTGTGTAGTGGTGCTATTTCCTCTTTCTTTTCTAAAACAGTTCTGGCCCCACCCTAATACTCAAGAAGGCCTAGGCTTGAAACTGGTGGAATAAGAAGCTGGGAGATTAAAGGTGAAGTAGGTGGTGATTGATGACTAAAACAAGGAAAGAGGAATCTCAGGACAGAAGTAGAGTTGAGTGAATGATGTATAAATCTTGCTAAGTAGTGGTCTACTGGGGGGGGGGGATCTGAAACAGGACTGGACTGCCATGTGGTATCAATTGCTGTTGTAACCCACAACCTATAACACCAGGAAATGGAATTGGTCTTAATTAGTGGATTCTACTCCTGCAGTGGTGAAAAATGGGAAGCTATATGGTCAACCCTGATCCAATTTCCTGGAGTTTCTGCTTTACTATTTTTCTCTTAAATCACCTTTTCAAGCACATGGAATATATATGTATATTTGTATGTATACACACATATATATCACATGCATATTGATCGTGTGTGTGTGTGTGTGTGTGTGTGTGTGTGTGTGTGTGTGTGACTGGGGGCAGTAAGGTGGCATAGTAGATAGAGTGCCAGGCCTGGAGTCAGGAAGATTCATCTCTCTGTGTTGAAATCTGGCCTCAAACACTTACTAGTTGTGTCCCCCTGGGCAAGTCACTTAACCTTGTTTGCCTTAGCTCCTCATCTATAAAATGAGCTGGACAAAATGGCAAACCACTTGTCTTTGCCAAGAAAATGCAAATAGGGTCATGAAGAGTTACATATAACTGAAACATGAAATATATATACTTTTATATGCATAGATATATACATAAATTGCCATCATTATATGCCTACCTCACACCCAGTAAACTTAATCCTGTTGTCCATGGCCAGTTTTTCATAGTGATCTTCCCCTTGTTCCCAACCATCCCTTTGACTTTCAAAGAAGGAAAGAAATCCTATAAGTACCACAAATTTCTTCGTGAATTGGGATATAAATGAGAACTGTCTGTCCCAAGTGTTACCAGTCCCCATCCCCCCCATTAGTAGTAGAATCAAACCCATGGCATCAGAATTACAAGATAGAGTTAGAGGAGGTATTGTTGGAAATGCATGTGGGGAAAATTCCAGTTTATTTTAGGTGCAAAGATAAACATTCATCTCCAAATCTTTATTATTTAGGGTTGGAGGTTTTCTTATTGGGCTTTTAAGGAGTAATGAGGCCCAAGAGAAGAATAAAATCAAGGCAACAAAACAGAACAAGATTTGGTGATAACTTGTCTTTGGTAGTAGATAAAAATCAACATTTAATAATAATAATAACTAACATTTATATGGCACTTAATATGTGCCAAGCACTGTGCTAAGAGCTTTATAATTATTACTTCATTTATTTCTCACAATAACTCTGGGACATAGGTGCTATTATTACCCCCATTTTACAGATGAGAAAACTGAGGCAAACAGAAATTAAGTGATTTGCCCAGTGTCACATAATTAGGAAATATCTGAGGCTGCGTTTGAACTCAGATCTTCCTGATTCCAGGCCCAGAGTTCTATCCACCGTTACCACCTAGCTGCCCATTTACTGACTAGCATCATGCCCTCTCTACATCCAATGAACTGCCTGTGTTAAGTATAAAATTCTGGTCTTGAGACAGGAGGGCTATTTTGCCTACACTTCTACCTCATAAATTTTCAATTTTAAGAAGCAGGAGAAGGGTATGGGTAATATATGGTAAAGTCTTTTTTCCTCTTCCCATAAACCTCCATTCCCTTACTCTGTTCTCAAGATTTTCCAAGGCATCTGGTAATACTCTATTTTCCCCTCCTTCCTTAGAAAGGACTTTAGTTAGGTTTTTATTTTTTGGGGGGAAAATACAATAATTTAAGGTACAAGGGCAGGAAAAGCCATTTACTTTGGAGGAGAGGGGGCATTTGTCAGATGGAAATGGGGAAAAGTGTAAATACACAGAGTGGGAAAACAGTTGAATTAAGGTCTTACAGGGACAGGGTTTCTCAATTGGAAGAGAGAACCTCTCCTACAAAAGGAACATAATAGGGTCTTTGTCTTTGTCAGCTATCCCCATTTCAGGGATCTAAGGACATAGACCTTCTTTTTCTTGCTCTCAATGTCACTGAGCACAGGCATTTCTTCTGACATATGTACAACATGAGTTCCTAAAAATCATCACGCTGTGCAAAACTGAGCAATAAAAACCATAAGGCTTATGAAAAAAAATGGGGTTCGGGGGGAGTAACACTTAAATTCTGTCCCAAAGGAAGCTCTGGTAGGAGGAACCCTCACTGTAGGAACCAGGTCACTGACAGCCGTAGCTGGGATCACAGCTTTGGTGCAGCTTCATGTGAGGTGCCTTGGGGACCCCCACCCCTCCACACACACACACACACACACACACGCAGAGTGTTAGGCTCATTTTCAAAGGCCCATTTCCAAGGAGGTAGTGCACAGGGACCATCTCCAGTCAGCCTATTCCCTGGGCAGGTGGCTATGGGTGGCCCACCACATGCCTTTTCCTACTGGGAGCCAGATATCTCTTCTCACTGAATGCTGACAACACTAACCCCTCAACCCATCTGTAGAGGTCACCTTCCTGTTGCACTCCCCATGAATGGGATGCAAAATTTGTGTTATATTCAAACTATTCCCTAATATTAGTATCAATTACATTGGAATAAAGATTCCACTGAAAATTCCCCATTGCTAATCACCAATCCACACCCCTCCTCCCTTTTCCTTTTGGGCAAATTCAGTATTTTTAAGAATGGGCTTATTTGAACAAGGAATTGTATTACCTGATAGCAATTCATCTTTCTGAAAATAGGATTCATTAAGAGCCTTGAGCAATCAGAGGGAGTAGGGACTAATGATGACAGGAATCTGGATGTTAAGTGTCCTGGGTTCCCAGCTCCATTCTTGCCATTTCAGCCCTGTTGTATACAGGTCAAGACCTATTCTCTCTGTACTTCAGTCCCTCTTCACCCCCAGTGAAATAGAGAAAATACTACTCTCTTTGTTGAAAATTGGCGAGAATTTTACTAAATATAAAATGTAGCTATTATTCTATTGGGTGATATGTTGGAGCAGGAACTCACTGTTAGCAGGAAAAAATATGGAACGGGTAATAGAAAATGAAAGGGAGGAGGAGAGGAGCAAGTCATTGATATACATCCACCATCTCCTTTTCTATATCCCCTTAACTCCCATGTTTCTGGTTAGGTTAAGTTTCTCACAATGTGAGATGTTTTGCATCAATGTGGGCTCAAAAGGTAGAGGCAAAGGGGAGGAATTTGGCATCACAGTTTTTTTTTCCCACACATTCTTAACAAGCAAACAAAAAACCACATCTCACTCTTCCGGCCTTATTATTGTTCCTCTGTTGGCAAGCGAGTAACCCTATGTTTGTCAGCCCCCTACCCTGCCCATGATGTTCCATTCCTGTATTGAAGGAAAAAGGGAAAAAGACTGGGGGTGTGTTGGGATATGAGATCATGATCTCTTTGTTGTAGTTTAGTCAATAACAGTCTTGTTCGTGCTTGGGGTTTTCTTGGTAAGGATTCTGGAGTGTTTTTCCATTTCCCTCCCCAGCTCTTTTTGTAAACGTAGCAATCTTCAGTGTATGTAGCTCCTTTTTGTTTCAGTTTCGTTTCTCTTGAACAGCTAGCATAGTGAGAACTAGAAGGTACGGAAGGGGACAGAGATTTTAAGGTTCAGCCTCTGTGGAAGCTGTTGAAGAGCCTCCCCAGGACTTTGGCTGATTCACAAAATCTTGCTCTTCTACATAGACTTGACAGCTTAAAAATCAAGACAAGAACACAGGGCTGGGTCTCAGGAGAAACCCTGTTCTACTCTTTGCCTTCCTCATTGTCTTGGTCTTTGACTTTGAGGAACTTACTTCCCCAGTTCAGTTCAATTCAATAAGCATTTATTAAACACCTACTACAAGCAAAACACTATACCAGGAGTCAAGCCTGAAGCCAGGGAAGCCAAAGATTTAAAAAAAAAACAAACCCAAATAATCCCTGCCCTAAAGGACCTTACAACCTAACAGAGCTGTTTCAATCCTCTGTGAAATTAGAAACTGAATAGGTTTCGTTTTCTAAGGAACTATTATTCAATTCAACAAATATTCTTTAAACTCCTAATTTGTCCTAGACAGTACATAATGCTAGGCGCGGGTGATAAAAACAAAAGAAAAAGAAACAGTCCTAGATCTCAAATAGTTTACATTCTACTGGAGGATAGGGGTGAACCTGTAATTTCACTGGTATAGGAAATTCCTCTCTAGGAAATTCCCTCTACCAATGCAGGCTGGCACCGTCTGTGCAACTTATAGTCTAAGATAGCTTGTATAGAGAAATAAAGGTAAGATACACAATAAACACAAAATTACTATGGTTAGGGGAGGGGGACCGACTGCGGTCAAGAGGAAAGTCTCTTTGGTACAGCTCTAATCATCCACGTATCTGGAGCACAAAGAGCTTCCCTAAGATGCTATTCGTGCGTGTCTCCTCAATCTCATCCCCATTGCCGTCTTCACCACCAGCACCACCCCACCACCCCCCGCCACTCATCTCTTCCTCCCGCCCCGCCCCACCAGCCTCCCCATACTCACCCCTGCTTCTTAAACCTGCACCTATCCTGAAGGAACAGTTTACAAAGGTGTAGCCGCTCGCAGCCGTCACATTCGTCCCGCAGGTACTGGCTGCAGAGGCGCAAGGGGCTCACCGCCACAGCCACGGTGGGGTCCTCGTCCTCCACCAGCAAGAAGCGCTCGGGCCCGGCCTCCTGCAGGATCTGGTTCAGCTGAGCCTCCGACCAGCCGATCTTCTGGCTCAAATGCCGGACATCAGAGGAGCCCTCCTTGTTCTCGCACAAGAGTTTGGTGAGGAAGCAGCTGACCCCCGGATCTGCCATGGTCTGCAGCCGGGCCCAGGAGCCCCGAACCCGAGCAGCAGCTGGAGCAGCAGCAGGAACACCAGCCGCAGCTGACTCCTCCCCTCCTCCTCACAATTGAAAGGTAAAGCCCTAGCCCTAGGCGGACCGAGGCGAGGGGTGGGCCCTAGCCTGGAAAGGGGAGGAGAAGGGGGGGGGGGGGTGGCCTGCAGTCTCTTTGGAAGAGGAGACCAGAACCAATCGCGAAGCTGGGATGGTCATCCCTCCGAGTGCCCGCAGGCTAGGGCCAAGTCCTCACCCCTTCCTTCTTTCCTTTTCACTCAAAAGGAAAATGCAACCCGTGAGCATTTCCTCACCTCCCCGCCCCCAAATTGCCAGGATAAAGATACAAGGGATTATTACTAGTTACCGAATGTTTCCTACTCTCTCTGCTGAGCCCCTCTCCCAGAAGGCCCAGATCCCAAGCTTTCACCCCACTCTCGGACAGATGACAACCTCAGCTGTCTCACTGGTTGAGGGAGAGGATACTTGGTTAATTAGAAAATAAACAGGATCCCAACAACCTGAGAACACAGAAGATTCTGTGGTATTTATGCAGTGGAGAGAGAAAGCATTGGGCCAGGAATGTCTTCTTTGTTCTCACTGAAGCTCATACTCAGACTTGTGCTTAAAATGTGTAGGAGCTGGTTGGTGCCTCAGAGATCAAGCCTAACTCTACACTGATTATCTGGAGGTCTTCCATGATGCCCCCAGTTGATTATGACTTTTTTTTCTGCAAGAAATGTTACATCTTTTCTTGTAAATAATGTGATGCATCATATATGTGTATATATATATATACATATATGTACACATATACATATATATATATATATATATATATAAATTTATGACTGTGTCTTATCACCTCATTAGTCTGTAAGCCCAAGAGGTCAGGGATCCTGGAGGCATTAAACTTTCTTTACTATCCCTCAGATTTAGCGCAGTGCTCTGTACACAGTAGGCACTTAATAAATATTTGCTGCTGAATCAAATTGCAGCTGACGGTTATGGGCCCAAGCCGAGACCTTTGCCCCTTACCCCAAAAGAATTTGGATCCCATTTGTTTGAGGGGGGAATGATGGGGTACAAGCCCTGGGAAACCTCCCCCCCCCCAACTCTCCTAGATTTTCTCCCACTTGGTTAAGTCTTTGGCGTTTGCTTGAGGCATCATCCCAGTAATCCTTTCAACTTTCATTGTGGCTACTTTCATTGTGGCTACTCTCCCAATTCTCTGTAACCCTTAACCTAGCTCAGCCTTTCATTGTTTGTTACCAGGGGATGGGCCCCAGCCATTTCCCACCTTTGATCCTATCTAGACCCCATTTTACCTCCCATCTAGATCCTCCCTATACCCCTCCTCCAATCACCCCAAACTACTTGGCCACTCCTAGATCCCTCCCACATTCTTTCTGTATATAAGATCCATCTTGCCTCCATTAAGGTACTTAGATTCTTTAAGAGTCTAGCCAAGTGCTCAGATTCTTAAAATCTAGCTAATGGTTGAGATTTACTCTAGCCTGCTTGCGTCACAAATGTTCAGATTCCTTAAGAGTCTGGCCAATATGGTGAATCTTTAATAAACCTTGTCTTTCACTGAAAGAAGGCTTGGGTTGAATTCATTTGGGTGGGACTGTGTCTCTTGCTCTCAATATTTTGGGATCCCAGCACTCCTAAACCTCAATACAACTACTTGCTGGATGGATAACAATCCCGTAGGCAGTTACTACCCTAGTATTGTAGTTATGAGGAAGAAAACAATCAAGAAGCATTTATTAAGCAATTACTATGTTCCAGGCACTATGCTAAGGTTAGGGGTGCAAAGACAAAAAGTGAAAGTCCCTGTCTTCATGGAGCTTCCATTCTAATGGGGAACTACATGTATACAAATATATTTGCAAAATAAAATCTCAATACTCAGCATTCATGACATAAGCCTGTAAGAAACAAATTTGTTCATTTAGTTCTAAGCATGTCTTCTTAAAGAAACTCAAAGGGATAGAGATTTGACTGCTTTTGAAAACAAAGGAATGGAGGTTAACTTATGGCTCTGTTACTTATTAACTGTGTGACATTATACAAATAATTTTGTCTCTCTCTGGGTTTCATTTTCCTCACCTACAAAATGAGGGTGTTGTACTAGGTATTCTCTAAGATCCTTTCCAGAACCAAATCCGATTATCTTATGAATCCTAATATTTATAAAATTCTCTCCCCCAACATTCCAGTCTACAGGTTTATAGTGTTCAAGATGAATGACAAGATTTCATAATCAAGATCAAAGAACAGTATGAAATTTAGGTACCAGTTTTGATTCATTAAGTAGGAGAGTCACCTACCCTGGACAATCATTTCCCTAAAAATCATTCAGTCCCTCTTTAACCATTAAGAATTCTCCTTTCAACCTGGGGTTAGTGACCTCAAGAGGAAAACACTGTGGCAGAAATCAGGCTTGGGTTAACATATTACACAATATTCCACAATAAATTCAAAATTAGCATGCCATTTAAATATCAAAGATCATACCCTAAAAAATTAAAAGAGCAGTAGACCATATACTTTTCCCAGCTATGAGTAGGAGATGAATTCTTAATCAAACAAGGGATAGAGGCAATTACAAAAGACAAAATAGATAATTTTTATTAGGTAACATAAAATTTAAAATGTTTTGTACAAACAGAATTAACATATCTAGGATAAGAAGAAAAGCAGTTAACTGGAGGAAAATATTTGTATCAAACCTTTCCAGTAAAGGTTTAATAACAAAGATATATAGGCAACTAAAAGAAATATATAAAAATAAAAGCCACTCCCTAGTAGATAAATGGTCAATGGATACTGCTGATTTTTTTGTTCTTAAAAGAAGAATAGAAAACTATTAACAATAGAAATGAATGCTTCAAATCACTAATAATGAGAGAAATGTAGATCAAAATAAGTCATCTCACACCCAGCAAATGGAAAAGACAATAAAAAATGGAACTAGTTGACATTGGAGAGATTATAGAAAGATATGTAAACCAATGTATTGTTGGTGGAGCTATGAATTAATACAATCATTCTGGAAAGCAATTTGGAATTATGAAGATAAAATGCATAATATATTCATACCCTTAGACCCAGAAATTCCCCAACTAGGCATATACCCCAAAGAGGTCATTGACAAAAAGAAAGGCTTCATTAAACCACAATATTTATAGCAGAACTTTTTGGGGTAGCAAAGAAACAGAAACAAACTAGATGCTTATCAATTAGGAAATGGCTAAACAAATTGTGATACATAACTATAAAGGAATATTAATGTGCTGAAAATGATGAATAATACATGTGATGTCAGAAGTGGGATTGGAAATGGAACTGGGCTATTGGACTGTCTGGTACTAATGGGAATAGACTAGACAACACTGGAGATTTATTTTTTGGAGGTCCAACCCCACCTCATTTGGTGAGTCCTGTGCCCTTCTCCCTGCTCCAGTCTTTAAGCTCCTGCCTTAGTTAAGCTTGCCATTCTTTGTGAAGAAAACTCCAGGATCCTCTGGTGACCTGATTCATCTTGGATCACCATGGCAAGGATATCATTTCTGCACACTCTGTTCCTCTAAAACAACTGTTCCTGCTTGCTCTATTTAGCTCCAGTCTCTGCAGACCAGGAGACTCTTACCTGCTCTGTTCTGGCTTTGGCCTCCCCACAGGCTAAGAGAGTGTTCGGTTAGCTCCATGCCTCTGTTAAACTGGTATGCCCAGCTATGGATTATAACTGAACGCTTTGTCAAAATTGTTTGTGTCTGTTTGTATCTATCTTGTCATTTTGTCTGTGTGTCTTGGTAAAATGTAAAATGTCTGTGTCATATAAAATGTCTATGTAGATTCTATTACCTTGAAAGATTTAAATTGGAGCCAGTCAGAAAAACTTCTAAGGGGTATGGCCAAAGAGTTTAGAACACTGGGAAAGATTAATGAACTTTAATTGTTGAAGCAATTGTCCCAGTAAGCAGGACAAAGTCCCACTTTGGGCTTTCCAAGGGAGATTAGGTTATAAGAAAAGAAAAAAGAAAAAAATCTGCAAGACACTTTTTTCCCTGTCATTTCAGCTTTGACTATGTTGGAATTACAGAAGTAAAGTCAGATAATCACAGTTTGTAGAACAGGTAAAAACATCTTGGTAGATTTTAGAGGATTGGAGATGAAGGAGTTTAAAGATTTATCAGTTTTCATATTGCAGAGGAAAACACTTGGGACCTTGGGATAATTCCAGGAACTCATTCCCTTCTGAAATATCTTAGTAAGTTTTGGGGCATCACTTTGTAGAATTTGTTTTAAAGAAAAATAAGGATCAAATCTTATAAAAGTAAAAAATAAATGGCAAGATTAATAGCTTTGTTGTTCTAGGGCAGTGAAGGAAGGCAGATAGTTTAGAAGTAATCCCAGAGTGGAGAAAAGAAAAAAAAATAGGTAAAAGGTCTGCATCTTATAGCCATCTCTTGTTAACCCTTTCTTGATCATCTTAGATCAGATTTCCAAATAAAGGTGTTGAAAAAAATTTTGGGAAAAATGTAGGGAAACCTGAATTATGTTCCAGTTGCAGTAATGTATTAGCTGTGTAATCTTAGGCAAGTTTTCTTATCTATATTTGACCCAGTTTCCTGATCTGTAAAGAGAAAAATAATAATGGTATTTACCTTCTAAGGTTGTTGTGAAAATTAAAATAATGTAATGATTAACACAGTGAATGGCATATGCCAAGCACTAAATTATTATTATTTCTTTGATTGAATGTAATTGTTCCATGCCTGATAACTCTAAAGTTGTTTTAAAATGCCAAAGGTAATAAGATTAATGATTTTCATATGAGATAATTTGGAAATGCAATTGATGTTATCTGATGCTTTGTTTCATGTCTCAGAGACATGGTATTGTTTATGTTATTATTGTATTTCTAAATTATTTTATATTGTGAATTTTGAGAGACCATTGTAAGAGAAATGATGTTAGACAAAACAACTTCTTAATCTGGATGCTGTTACACATGAATTGGGCTTTTAAAAGGAGGTGCTAAAATAGATATTTGAAAACTATTAAATATTTA